TGTCTATTATTTGTATTTGTATTCGAATACAAATAACCTAATAGAAAGTTGTTCTTCTTATAAAGAAAATACATAACTAGTTGACATACATTTGGATGAATACAAATTAGTGACAAATACAAGATTCATAAACCATACAACATGAAATTTTTAATAAATACAAGTATTGATAGTATACGTAGTGATTTGAATACAAATTAAGAAAGCATACCAAATTCTAAAAAAGAACTATAAATACAAAACAAACTAATAGAAAATTGTTCGCGATCTTCGTCGTCTTTTTCAAGATCCTCACGAGTAGACAGATTTTACATTTGCGTTTTGAATTTGAGGAAGGTTTTGCACACCAATGAGTCTTGTAAATGTTCTTACCCTCTTTCTTCCCTCATTTTAGCAGCGGATCATACATTATACACTATTTGTTAAGTAATAAATAAATTAAAGGATGAAAAATCACCAAAATTTGGTTGATTAAGATGAATACCTCTAGTAAGTCTCTTGGATTCAGTCATTGGAGAGTAAATCATAACGGAAATTGAAAAATACAAACAACATTTTTTTAAGATTTAAACAAAAATAAAATTAGAAAAGAAATCTGAAAATAGGATAAAGATTAGAGATACCTTAATCAAAGGGATTCTTGTTGATTCAATTTTGGATTAAAAAAACAACGAAAATATATGGCAAAAAAAATTTGCAACTTGAATGTTGGAGGAAAATCAGAAAAGATAACCATAAGAGAGAAAAAAAATTAAATGGGAGAGAGAATTAACAATTTGAAAAGATAAATATGAGAGAGAATATATTTTTTTTTAAAAAAGGATATATAGAATTAATTGAAAAAGAGAGATAAAATAGGAAGAAAATTGGGACACGTAAATTTTTAAAAACAATGACATTATTGCTAATATTTATAAAGTATGGATATTTTTACTAAATATGTTATTTATTTTGACTAGTTTACTAATTTTTCCATTTTTAATTCCAGCCCACTCCTTTTCTTTTCCCATTAATGTTTCCAGCCCACTTTTAGATTCCCAGGCCCATCTTTCCCAGCCTAGCTTACACCTTAACCCGACCCAACAACGTTTATTCCCAGCCCTTTCCTTCGACCCATCACTATGTTGTCTTCTTCCTCTTCGCGACCCCGTCTCGCTTACGCGCAGAAACGCCATTCTCTCTAATAGACCTTTTCTTCCCTCTCTCGCGCAAGTCAATAGAAACCAGTCCATCGCGCGTGGAGGAAGGAGGCAACAACGGATACCTGCACTTTGCTGATGCCGTACGACCTCTGCAACACACAAGACGACGCGAAATTGTCCTTGGCATTGTAGGATCGAGCCACATCGCTTGCCAAGGACGAGGGATCGATCTCAACCCTCCACCTCCCCTTAATTCCGTCCGAATCGCGTGGATTTTGGATAAGGTTTTGAAATTCGAATTCCAAATGGGCCGAAAGTCTTGGAATTTCCTCGTCCTGCCCCCAAAATCGAAAACCCTAGTAATTCCCCTATAAATACCCTTTGCTTCGTTGGTTTCAGGGGAGAATTTTTTTTTTTATAGAAAGATATATACAGAGGATTTTTTTTTGTTTTTTGGGAAAAGAAATTGTTCCAAACCCGGAATTCTCTCTCGAATTCTTTGCTACTGTGTACGTGCCGTTGCGTCGTCTTATCTCAACTCGTCCTGTCCGCGGTATCGCTGCTCGAAACAAGGTGACATGCTATTCCTTTCTATTCACTTGTTAATCAAAAGTTTTCTCACGAGTGATTGAATGTAAATGCTTGTTATTGCCCCCCGTATCCGTGTGTTTCTTATGCTTCCAAGGCCCCCTCTCGTTTGTTTGATTCTGTTGAACACCTCTGTATACGCAGATAAACCAGTGTTTCTTTGTTTATCTTGTTTTGAGTGAAGTGTTATCCCTTTAGCAACTCGTTTCTAGGCCCTGTGGTGATAATCTCTGTTGGATTGCTCATTAATTTTCTTGAATATGTATGGTTTCAGCCCCCACATTTTTGTATCTCGTCATTCCGTTGGAATTTATAGCGTCGTTTCGATTTGTAATACATGGTCATTCTCTTAGGATTATTAAGTCTGTTCAAGTGTTTTTCTTTAAACTATATTGATGTACATATTACACCTCTTTGATATAAATTTTATTCTACTTTTTGTTGGAAGGTTCGAGCAAGCTTCAAGCTGGTCAGTACAAAGTATGCAAGCGTTCCTCATCTCTCGATGTTCTTAATTCTTACTCGTTTAGTTATGGTTTGTGTTCTTCCGTCTAGAATTTGTTTGATAGTTGTTAGTATAGCTTGCTTTATATTTTGTAAATCAGTTATCTATTAGTGTTTTTTTTTTTTTGCATGGTTCGGGTAGTGAAGACATATATATATACAAAGCATATTTGATACTTTATCATCTATTGTCATGCCCAGTATTTGTTTGAAATACCCCTTTGGAAAATTTAAATTTATTTGGGTTATCCTTATACCTTAGCAGTTGCCTTGATGTTGTTTAAGCCCTTCTGTGGGTCATTAATTGTATGCACCCATGAGTATGATTATAGTTGGCAGTATATGCATTTTCCTCCTTTTTTTTTAGGTTTGGATGGTGCCATCTTTGGTTTACATGGGTTTCCTTTAGAACCATGCATTCTTGCTTATTGCGTAATGGTTTGTAAAGTTTGCTTTAGTTCAAGACATGTTTCGTTGTTATATTATCTCATGGGCTAATCCATTTTTGTTTTATTGCATGTGAAACTATTCTCGAGTCCTCATGGACTTCGCTCCAATCCCTTGCACTTTCTCGTTGAGCCATAAAGGATCAAAACATCCTCCCCGAGTCGTAGACCCTCTCAAAACTGGTGTACAGGTCGAAAACAGCAAATATGGTGCTGTAAAATTATATTTTCAGGTGTTGAAGAAGCCGTATACCAGCTATATACATATTTTATACACCCATATACAGGTCAAAATACGTACAGGAAGCCAAATGCGAAACCTGAGTTGATAACAGTCCAGATATACTTCTGGAAATTATTTTTCTGCTGTCGAAAGTTGAAGAACAGGTCGATATACAACCTGTATACACTGATATACAAATGTTTTATACCAAATAGGTGTAAAAAATACGAATTGCAGGTTTAACGTACAGGGATGCCGAATTTGAGTAAAATTCAGGAACAACGAATTAAAACGCGCATAGGGTACAAATGCGCTGAAATAATATGGAAAATATAGGTGGAATCGCGAGAATTCATTTTCAAACAAAATACAGGGCTCAAAAAGTCCAAAATGGACCGGATATATATATCGTATACAGCGGTATACATCAGTTATATACCCTAATTCTCTTTTTTCAGGAAAAATGGGCCAGGGCCCATCAACAGAATTTAAGGAAATAGGCCCAAAGGCCATATATTGTTTCAGACATGATTTGAATTGTTGAAAAGGGCCCAAGCCTATATTCTTGAAATATGTAGTGTAGGACAGGTGGGCCAAAGCCCAATTTACTGAATTTTGGCAATTAGCCCAAGTTCAAATAATATTCCCTTCTCACCCTCTTTTATTTATTATTGATTTGGATTGACTAACATTTGGTGGAATTTTATTAATCTCTTAAAGGGCCACCATTTTTTGTATAACTTACATAAATGCCATAGTGTAAAATCTAAATTACCTTCTATCCCTATTATTTTTATAATTACATATATTCCATATTTTTTAGACATTTCAGATACATAATTAAGGATCCGGATACATTATTGCTGATACATTATGTATCAATCTGTTGCACTTATTAAGGAAAAAAAGCTGTAAAATCAATTTAAAATCTCATAGTATCCATTTGTTCCACTAATTAAGGGGGAAAACTGAAAATTAAATTAAGATTCCATAAATTACGTTATTCCATTCAAAATTATTATCAAGAATTCAAAATCCTATATTGTAACAACCCAAAAAAATCAAAAAATTAAATTTCTTCTTCTTGTTCATCATTCTCTCTGTTTCATATAAGAATATATCGAAATTTTGAAAAGCGGGATGAGTTATAAAGGATTGTATGGAATTGTTGTTGTACAAATGATTTCTTTTGTAAATCTTCACGTTCATAGAATATCTTTTCGATTTTGATTCAAGATTATCGAAAATTTTGAGATTCCAAATTCTTATCCAGTCATTGAAGATCCTTTCCATTTTGATTCAAAATTGATAATAATTTTGAATTTCAAAATTATTCTCCTAGTTCATTGAAAATTCTTTCAATTTTGATTAAAAATTATCAAAATTTTTGAGAAGATACACCATGAAGATCCTTTCAATATAAATTGATAAGTGTTGTATTTCTACTAGGTACACTTAATAAGAAAGTGTTGCCCATAAAATTTTAGGTTTGAGACCAATACATTATTATTTGGCAATTGTTATGTTACACATACATTTAGTATAAATTCAAATTTATGTATCATAACTAAAAAATTAGTGCATTATATATATTATTATTTATGTATGTTCTTTTGTTTGAGATCATGACGATCCTTTCAATTGAATTGATAAATATTATATTTTTACTAGATACATTAAATAAGTGTCGCCCATAAGATTTTAAGTTTGAGATCGATAGATTATTTTTTGATAATTATTATGTATAAGATACATCTAGTATAAATTTGAATTTACGTATCATAACTAAAAAAATAGTGTTTGATACATTATTATTTATGTCTGTTATTTTATTTGAGAAATACAACACTTTCAAATTTTTAAAAAATACATTATAGTAATTGTTTGAGATCATACATTATTGTTTGGTAATTGTTATGTATCAGATACATTTTAGTATAAATTTGAATTTACGTATCATAACTAAAATAACCGCTGATACATTAATCGTTAAGTAAGATACATTACATTTTATACATGATACATTAATCTGATGCGTGAGATACATTAATCTGATGCGCTGATACATTAATTTAATGCGCAAAAATGAGGGATTTTGAAAATTTGTAAAACAATAGATATAAAGCTTGAGCATGTGTCCTTCCTCGATTTCTTCGCTCACAAATGTATCACGAATATAATTTGATATTGTGTACGAAAATATATTCTTCTAAATTTGAATAACCGTAGAAGATACATAGCAACACTTGATACATGAACAAATGATATATTTGGTAGAGACTACTTCTTTTCATTTCATAATGTAGTTTTAACAACAAAAGAGGTTCTCCTAAAACTGATTTTTTTGCAGGGAACAATATGAATACATTATATCTTTTATATTTCCCTTATGCATATTGTGAAGGTGAAAATGGAGGAAAATCCGATAATTCTTAGGAAAAAATTATAAAGCGAAAACTTGTGTTGTTTTGAAAAAAAATTGTGGAGAGATATTATGAAAATAGAGAGAATTAAATCTGAAAATTAATAAATAAAGGAAGTAAAGATTGAGGGAGTGAAAATAGGAAGAGATAGAGTGAATAAAAATAGGAAGAGGTTGAGGGAGTGAAATAAGGAGTAAAAATAGAAAGAAAAACGTGTATAACTTTATGTATCTGGAACAATGGATTTGAAACGAAAAAGAGGGATTTTTGAAATATTTTTAAATGATAGGGAATAATAGAAATTATGGAAAATAAAGATGTGTATATAGGTAATTTATCCTTTTTTATACTATATTTATTTAATTATAAATTTTACTACTATTTTACTTACTTATTTTGTTTTATTGGCTTTTGTCAACATTTAGTTTATTCCCCTTAAGTTAATTTCCTCTAAATATTTCCCTTTAGAAATAATTAAAAGAATAAAAATGGAATAAATACATATATTAAAACGAATTCTCTTTATTTAATTAAAATTTTATAATTTATTTTAAAGGTCATTTAGTCAAATCGCCGGTCAACCGCAAGTTAGCGGGCATCCCGAGGGCCTAACTCCTTCTCGGGATGTACATTTGAACTTCGAACCTTTTTCAATTGATTTTTATCTGTTTTGAATCTTTTGAGAATTAATTTTAATATTTTCTGGATTTTATCAAAAATCAAGTGGCGACTCCGTAATCTGGAAAGTCGATTTTTCTTAAATAATACTAATTGATTTTCCGAAACTTAGTCATTTTTCATTATTTTACCAAATAATATATTTTTAAAAAGTAAATCACTACAGATGTTTGATGGGAACACTACTAATTCCAATGTAATGGCTAACATGACAGGTATGGTTCATACTCCTCGATCCAAAGTTAGCAAGTTAAAGTGGACAATTGATACTGGTACAACCAATCACATGATTTCTATTTTAGATGTATTACATGATATGAAAATTTTTAAGACTGAACAAAACATGAAGGTTTATTTACCAAATGGTGGTATAACACTGGTGACTCATACAGGTAGTTACAAAATCACAAATATAGGAATATTACATGATGTATTGTATGTTCCAGATTATCACTATAATTTGTTATCTGTATCAAAAGTCACCAAGGATCTCAGTTATTTTGTCCTTTTATCCTGGATGAGCTTATTCCAGAACCTTTCCAGTGGGAAACTGAAGGGGATTGTTAAAGAAGAGAATAGTCTCTATTTTCTGGTTCAGTCAAGCTGTTATAATACTAAAGTTCTTGTCAATGACATTGTTAAAGGTTTTGCTGCACAAGCAGACAAGAAGGATAATATACTGTGGCACAGAAGATTAGCACATGCATTAATAAGGTCTATAAAATACATGTTAGGTTACACTCTTGATGATTGTAAAGCAACACTACATGATTGTGAGATATGTCCATTAACTAAGCACACTAGATTTCCTTTTCTTAGTAGTTGTACTAAGTCTACTGCACTGTTTAGTTTGTTGCATTTAGATATATGGGGTCCCTACAATACCCCTACATTTGATGGGAACAAGTTTTTTCTCACTATTTTTGATGATTTTTCAAGAATTGTATGGATTTTTCTATTGAAATTCAAAAGTGATGTATTGTCGATTCTTACACAATTCTTTAGAATGGTCCTTACTCAATTCGCCACTACAGTTAAAAGTGTGAGGACTGATAATGGGGGTGAGTTCATCAGTGGTTCCACGCAGGCATTATTCACAGAATTGGGGATCTTACATTATAAGACATGTGCTCATACCCCTCAGCAAAATAGGGTTGCTGAGAGAAAGCACAAACATCTTCTTGAAGTAGCTAGAGCTTTAAGGTTTCAAGGTCATATTCCATTAGAGTTCTGGGGGCATTGTGTTCTTACTGCAACTTATATCATTAATAGACTACCTTGTCAATCTTTAGAGGGCAAGTCACCTTATGAAATTTTCTTTGGACAGAAACCATGCCTTACGCACTTAAGAACTCTTGGTTGTTTGTGTTTTGCAAGCAATATGCCTAGAACCGACAAGTTTGCTCCAACAGCAATAAGATCAGTATTTATGGGATGTTCAACTGTCACCAAAGGCTACGTTTGTTTTGATCTACAACACCAAAAGTTTTTTATTAACCGGGATGTGGTCTTTCATGAAGATAAGTTTCCTTTTCAACATTTTTCTAAGACACCTGAACCTTCATCTCATATATTTTCTCTTTCCCCTGAACTTTATACACATGATGATATTTCTATTGACATTATTCCACCTCAAAATGACTTGCCTTCTCCATTACTACAACCTTTAGTTCCCACTTCTGTTGCTTTGCCTCCAATTGCCTCTCCTCTTGTTTCTTCTGATTCCACTATTCCACCACTTAGAATATCTACTAGGACCTCTAAATAACCTCTCTGGCTATCATACTATGTTTCCAAACCTTCAGCTAGTACTTTTTTATATCCCATGGAGGCTTCTATATCTTATAATCAGTTGCCCCCCTCATATAAGAAAAACCTACAAGTTTTTTCTGCTGTTCTTGAACCAATTTCTTACCAAAAAGCAGCCTTAGATGTTACTCTCCTAGATAATCATACATGGGACTTGGTTTCTCTTCCTAAGGGTAAAGTTCCTATTGGATGTCGATGGGTCTATAAAGTAAAACTGAATGCTAATGGTGATATTGAGAGGTTTAAAGCTAGATTAGTAGCAAAGGGATACATTCAATGAGCAGGTTTTGATTTTCATGAAACTTTTTCTCTAGTTGTGTTCTTTCTTTGGATGCTTAATTTAACTGGTCTGTTCATCAGTTAGATGTCTACAATGCTTTTTTGCAAGGTGATCTTCATGATAAAGTGTATATGCAGTTGCCCGAGGGTTTGCAAGTTAGGGGAAGTCTGGTATTGTATGTAGACTTGTCAAATCCCTCTATGGACTTAAACAAGCAAGTTGACAGTGGAATTTGAAATTGACTGAGGCCTTAATGGAATCTGGTTTTATTCAAAGCAGCTTAGATCACTCATTGTTTATACAAAGAAAAGGATCAGATATGGTTGTGATTCTTGTTTATGCAGATGACATGTTAGTGACAGGAAACAACTTGACTCTTATTGAACATACAAAGTCTATCTTACATAAAGCCTTCAAAATCAAGGATCTTGGTGAATTAAAGTTTTTCCTTGGTATGAAGTTCAGTAGATCTGCCAAAGGTATTTTGATGAATCAAAGGAAGTATGCATTCAAAATTATTTCAGATTTAGGATTGGGGAGCGTTAAACCTGCTTGGAGTCCACTTGAAGCCAATGTAAAGTTGACGGTTTA